CCCCAAAACCCCAAAACCCCTAATTAAAGGTATGATAAAATAAGACAAATCGAAATTAAAAAGGAGAAAATTAAGTATTGTATTATTTTTTTGAGGCTATCTTTTTATATTCATTAAAGAGCTTGAACCACAATAACTACAATGATGGCTGCGTAGATTAAGATATTTATAAATGCCTGTATTTTTGATAGGTGTGACCCATTGCAAATAGTTGTAATTAGTATTAAAAACAGGGTCAAAAAGTTTCCTGCAATCATTATCAATGGTATTCTAGCATGGAAATCTTCAATTTAGCAGTTTATTACTTCACCAGTGATATAGTTGCTTTTAAATACGGTTATTCCTAGTCCTAGAACATTGTTAAATAGGGGTGCAGCGAAGCATCCTGTAAGTGCCATTTCAGCAAAACCCTTTTTGGCAATAGATGTATTAGCTATGAAATCTCCTACTGAGTTACCCCAGGCTAAAACAGTCAAAGCTAATAGATTATTTGGAAGACCAGTGAGTAATCCAAAAATCTCAAGAAGGTCAATTAGTAATTAGGCAGTAGCCCAGATCCAAAAAATACTCATTGCGAAAGAGAATAGCAAAAAGAACATTAATGCTTTTTGAGGCGGTTTATTTCTATATGTTTTCAGTCTTATCACTAATCCTAGTAAAACAGCAACCCCAGCAGCAGCTTGCTAGAAATGATCAAAAATGTCTAAGACTAAAAAATATAGTGATCATTATTATTCAGTACTTACATTCAGTATATGCCAGTACTGTTATTAAACCAACAATAGGAGATAATGATGAAAAGTTACGTCTCCATACATCTTCCTCTGAGATAGGAATCATTAAGTCTCTCCAAAGATTAAATGGTTTAGCAATTATGTAGTGAACTAATCTTCTCAAACTGAATCCAGATGATTTCTCATCGTCATCATTAACCTCCTCCTAATACTTTTTCTTTATATACATTTTCATCTTGTTAAACATATAACTTTGATCCTGCTATAAATCTGAACTTCTTATCTATGGATTTGACCCTCTACTATTATCCTTATCCTTAAAAATATTATTAAAGTATGTATCTCTAATGACCACTCCACCTTGATTATTAATTTAATGAGAATGGTGTTTATCGACATTTTCAATTTTTTAATGGTGATCTTCAAAGTTATAAAAGCCAGCAATCACCTCCTCTTCCTTAATAAGTCCCTCGGTTCTAGAAATGAAATCTACAAGTTCATCATCAAATTTAATCTCTAAAACATATTAAAATCAATAACTAAGAACTACTTGGCATGGCGGACTCTCTGAGTTCAACGTACATATTCTCCTTTTGATATCTTTCTTAACGACTAGTAATAATTCTGTTTTGAATAAATACGAAAGCCACATATCTACATATATTTATTGCTAATTTTATTGGGTGCACTTACATTACATATATAGAAAGATAGCAAATACTAAACAGAGTGTCTAATTTTTTCCTAATCACTATGGCATACATAATCACTAAGATAGCAATAATATAAAACCCTACATCCCTTATGAAGAAATGCGGAGTCACTTTAATAGGATTTTTAGTCATCAAAGTAATAGCTGATGCTATAATAGTTGAAACAAACATTCCAGAACCTAATGAACTAGAAGCAGCCAAGTAAAATCCAGTACTGCTCATATCACTTCCTCCTGCTGACAAAGAGGAAAATACATCTGGTGCTCCATTACCTAAAGCTAGGAGTGTCACTCCGTAATTGAGTTAAATAGTCTAATAAAGAATGTAATTAGTATTAAAAGATATCGCTAAACTCTGTGACATTCTCAGTCCTTTAGATATTTATTCTAGTAATGGTGATAAATAGCTATCTGCTGTAGATCCAAGTACATAAAAACATAAATACACAAAGAAAAGCTACAAAGATCAATTAATGAGAAGTTCAATTTACTCCTAGGGGTATAAATAGAATGCTTTAGTCAAAACCGCAATAATACATCTTAATAAAGCTGATTGGTGAGTTAGAATGACAATTATTGGTAGCATAGAGGCATTAGTCCACTGCCTATCGAATTAGTTTTAAAGAGCAATCGTCTCCCATTTATTATTAATGTTTTTAAATTTTAACTTAAATTAAAGGGAAAATATATTAATAAGCCAAATAATCTTGTTCACATAATAATGCATCTAGAATCTTCATTTAAGTTGTCTAATTGCTTCTTACTTTCAATGTTTTTACCATAGTTTAAGCTTTACTTTCTTTTAGATTGACTGCTTGATTTGTTACTGGTTGTTTATCTCTACTTGCTTTATTACTATTTTTCAAATGTTTAGGATCTGCTCATCAACCCAGATGAATTTGAATCTCGTTCTTATGTCAGGAAAATTTGTGGAGGTTAATAATGATCATTCTAATTTTCATGATCAGGCTCATCTTAGTGATCATTTTCATGATCCGAAATATCGGGTTCTTCATAACCGTTCCCCAATTGCATTTATTTTAGTGCTCTTAAATATTTTTCTCTCTAAGTGATTTCATCAAGCAACTTACTTTTGGTTCTTGGATTTATCATACTTTATGGGTCAGTTTAAAAGTAGATTTATTGCTAAAGTTATAAGCTAACATCATTTTTGTTAGACTTTCTTGCCCTCAAATTGACATTTTTCTGCATATTTTAATCACTAAAATCTTCCGACTGATCTTCGAATCTAACTGCATGTTTATTTATATGTCTTTACTAGTATCCTATACCTCCTTAAGTATATATAATGCCCTCATTCAAATCATTTTAGTTTATGAATTCAGGCTTCAAGTTTGGTAAAGGTACTAATTTCTTAGGAGCAGGTATGTTACTTTTTATATAATTTGCTTTTTACAAGTTAAGTTTATACTACTGCTGGTGATAAATACTATCAGTATTAAGTCTTTGAAATTACTGTTCATCGTCATTATTGAATCCACATTATTGATATTATGGCTAGAAAATCAAATTTTGCTTAGCCCTAAGTTTCTCTTGGAAATCCTATTTTTATTAATCAAGGGTTTTCAGCCTTAAGGATGTATTATTATCGTAAATATTTTGATTATAAGATCCTTCAAAAAATGACTTTGGAGATTAATTAGCAGTCATGAATCCTCCTCCAAAAATTCTATTGTTAGCATCATAATTTGCTTGATTTAAGTTGAGGTTTTTACCGTATCTAACATTCTGAGTTTGAAACAGTTAATTTTTTTGCTAGTATTCATCCAACTAATGCTTTAAATTTTTAACTCCAGTACTTTACCTTCCATTATAGTTCAAGTCTATCAATGGTTTATTTTAAAATGTTTGTTGTTTAGGTGTTGCAGATAATTTTTATTCAGCACCTCTATAAGATTGTTTCATACTTTGTGGATCCTTTGATGACTCTCTTCCGATTATACGATAAACATTAGGTCTGTCCTTTGAGGTTATTACCAATGGAGTATTTGAGGATCTTATTAGTAATTCATGTGCTACGCCTGTCGTATTAAGATAAGCCGGTTAGAGGCTAGTTTAGGAGATCGACTCTTATAGTTTTGAATTAACACTATCCTCTTATGTTTCACAGTATCTCTACATTCCGATCAGTGGTTTCTTAGCGCTAGAGTTTTTTGTTGAGTGAATCTGCTATACACTACCCATTCCTTTAAATTATGGGGTTTTTCTCACGGATTTAACAGACTATCTTCCAATAACTTTCAATGATGAGTGTGATTGAATCTCATTTTTAATGCACGGTGTGATCGATATTCTGAAACTTTGTTCAGGCCTTCTACTATTCTTTACTATTTACCTTCTCTCATTGCTAGAGTCAAAGCTGGTCTCTTGTATTTCCAACACTTCATGTATATCAGAAATAGATTTATATTCTGTAGGAACTTCTGAAACATGAGCAGTATTTTTCTATGAATTTGAAATATTGTTGAGGACATTTATAGATTCCTGGTTTTAGGATGAAGAAATAATTGTGTCTCGAATGCTTTAATTATTGCTTGCATTTAAAATGTTGGCCCTATTTTTCTAAATTAGACTCAGTGAGTCTATCATAATTGAAGATGATTGGTTTCTGGTTTGATTATTACTCTAACCAGAGGAAGTTTACTATGTTTGGCTAATGATTGATTCATTTATAATTTTGTGATATTTTGGATTAAAATTTGGAGGGACGTGTGAATTAGCTCTTGTTTAATTATAGTCTGAGTATTGCTACTTATTGATACTCTCTTAAGTCTCGACCATAGAACTTGCCTAATTTTTCTAAGTAATTACATAATCTTCAGGCTTTTAGTCATAATGAGACAAGTTTTGAGAACCCATAAATGTTAACTAATTATTGTCGTAGTAATATTCAGTCTTAAGTCCTTGTTTATTTATTGGGTTTTATTGCTCAAAATAAACTTTCTCTCGCTGATCGATCGTCATATTTTATACCTATATCAAATGTTTGGTTAGTTATATTTGTGAGTCAGATTAGTCGGGGTCGAATATTGAGGGTTCTCTTTAAACGTGCTTAAATTTTAACTTGTGAGGCTTCAAATCTGGTGTCTCCTGCTTGCTGGATATAAAAGAGGACCCATCTCCATCTTCATCATTTTCTGAGATATTGTTTTCAGAGTAAAAGCAGCTACTACTATGACTTCGTTGTTGATAGAGTTTGTGACTTTATCTAGCCTAATGCTGTTACTAAACTCTTTTTGGGTTAAAAGTTTCTCGCATTTAATGTTTATTTTATGTAACTTTCTACATTAGCTACTAATTATCAGCCGATAATTTAATCTAATTTGTAGAATTCTTCGCCAAAAGGCTCTCTTTATTCATTTTATTATAATAAGTCTTTTTAATTATTTATAATCATCGTTACTTCATTGAAAAATTCTGATTCCATGGGGTTTTGGGGTTTTGGGGTTTTGGGG